CCATGTTAGTGCTGCAATGTGTTCACAGTTTACAGCTGATGGAGTTATACTGGATCCGCTAGAAAATGCAATGTAACTTTTACTTTTTATTTATCAATAGAGCCATGCTGTTCTATGTTTCTGAAATGTTTTTTTACCCATCTGTCTGCAGAATCTGAACCCGAGGTGGCCATTTTGCTTCCAGACTTGCCAAATTGCTGTGTTTTGATGTTTGTATTTCTATGTTCCTTTCTCTATGCTTGAGTTATTTTAAGAATGTATTGGTTTTATCTATAATAATAATAGTGTGTTTCTTCATAAAGTGTGTCAAGCAAATTGTTTTTCATCATATTCCCAGCTAATCAAATGTTTAAATACAGTGAAAGTGACATTACTATTTGAATGAGCACTTAATAATAACAATAAATTAATAATTACACACACATCATTTCATTTAGTTGTCAGCGTTTGACAACCCAGCTCTTTTTTACATTGCCCACAAGAGGGCTACAGTGCTGAACTAATAGCCTAGTTCAAATTAACTAAATGACTCGAAAGAAAGGGTATTTAATTTTACTGAGCAAGAATCAAAGATTTGATTGAGTAAAAATAATCAAACTTCCCATCACTATTGTCAAGAGGAAAATGAGAGACACCAGACCAACAATACAGATGAGCTCAAGGCCGCTATCAAAGCAACCTGGGCTTCCATAACACCTCAGCAGTGCCACAGGCTGACTGCCTGACTATTCTAATATTCTAATATTTTATTCTAATATATTTTTTGATGTGAGTCACAATCATCAAGATTAAAAAACAAAAGGCCTGAAGTATAACACTTTGTTTAAAGAGGTGGTATTATGCTTTTTGGCCTTGCCCCTGTCCGTTATTGAGTTATATACCTTGTTTTGTGCATGTAATAGGTTTGCAAAGTGAAATAGCCCAAAGTCCAGCCCAAAGGGAGTTCTCATCTCCAACAGAAAACTCTGCCTGAAAACAGATTGTTTGTAGTCCAGCTTTTACTTCCGCTTGCTTGTGATGTCACAAGAAAATACGTGTCATAATGCTATGCTAATGCTGAGCGACAAGTCTGACACGCACTAAAAAACACTGGTAGAAAAACATTGGCTATTACCGGCCTTTCGCTAACCTGCCCTTCTCTACTTCTGATTGGCTAGTAGTCCTTAACTAGGAACTGCACATGTACAACTCCCAACAAAGATCATTTAGAGAAAGATGTATCACTCCATAGCTAAAACGAAGCCTTCAACACAGGGTGAAAAGAAGAGCTGCAGCAATGTCCAGTATGACAAAAATATGTTGTTTTTTTAAAAATGAAACCATGTAAAGCTGTTCTGGTACCCCTAAATAGGATTTTATAAAATGAAAATGAGCACAATACCACCTCTTTAACAAATCTACAATATATAAAATTTTCACTTTTACTTAAAGTCCAATGTGTAATATTTAGGAGGATCTACTGACTGAAATCCAATATAATATCCATAACTATGTTGGTGGTGTATATAAATCTTGCATAATGAACAGTTATGACTGACATTACCTTATGACCCATTTCTATCTACACCCTCCTACATGGAAGTCGCCATGTTGCGCCGCCATGTCTCTACAGTAGCCCAAAAGGACAAACTGCTAGCACGTTTCATCACTACACTGAATACGTACAAGAAGAAATAGAAGAAGTAGTAGTAGTAATAGTAGTAGTAGTCTGGTTTATTAGAGTTAAGAAGAAAAGTGAAATTTGGACAAACGGAAGACCATGCGTACGATTTAGCACTAGAGCCAACAGATCGTGTCTGCCACTGTAGTTTCTCCTGCGCGCTTGGAAAGGGAGGGCAGAGCAGTGACTAAAAAGGTACATTCATCTCGTGTCAAAATTTCTTTTTCCTCCGTAAATCTTTATCGCAAAAAGAGGAATAAAGTTACATGGGACATACATTAGATACAGAACTGTATACAAATATATGACACAAATAAAAAAAACAGGGGTAGTCTATATATTAAAAGAGGACCATATGTTGACAGTTTTCACAGCCTTTTCTGTTGTTAGATTTAGAAATTAAATTGACTGTGTGTTGTTTATATGCTCTGATAATGCTAATCCAATACATCTTTGTAGTGGGGTCCATGTTGAATACACATTCTGACTTAATAGCACATGAACACACCAAAGTCGCAAGAACAACTTCTCAACTCGGGAAATGGGACCAACCGAGGAGCATGTGAATGCATCAGAATCACTAAGAGCTTTATTGCCAAGTAGTATTTTACATGTACAAAGAATTTGCTTTGGTCATAAGATGCTACACGTAGACAAACATAAAGTTGAAATAAATAAATGTAGAAATATCTAAATATGGAATAACAGATGCAAGCAATAAGGTGGAAGAATAAGGTGGCAGATATAAGTGTATTACTTCCGAGTTTATGTTGTGCAGACATATTGCAACAAAAGAGGATATTTTATTTACATAAACATATAAAATCAACAAAATATAAAAATATACAATAACAACAATATGTGCAGGTTGCCAGGTTTGTGCAATGGGGGGTACTGGCTGCACCAGGTCACAAGATGGTCAATCTCCCACCCACAGATGGACTCATGCCCACCAGAGATGAGTCTAATGAGAGTGGTGTCATCCGCAAACTTCAGGAGCTTGACGGACTGGTGACTGGAGGTGCAGCTGTTTGTGTACAGGAGGAAGAGTAGAGGGGATAGAATGTAGCCTTGAGGGGAACTGGTGCCGATGGTCCTGGAATCAGAGAGATGTCTTCCCAGCTTCATGTGCTGCTTCCTGACAGACAGAAAGTCTGTGATCCACCTGTAAATGGAGTCAGGCATGCTCATCTAGGAGAGCTAGCGCTGTTTCATTGGTGGAGTCATGGGGATGGTATCAGGAATGTACTCTGACCCCTTAAACCTGGCCCGGTTTCCACACCTAAATGCCACCAGCTGCTCCACCAGTCACCTGTCAGTCAAGCTATTGAAGTTTACAGATAGAAAAACCGTCATGGGACTCATCTCTGGTGGGGATAAATCTGCCTAAAGGTGGGAGATTGACAATCTGGTGAACTGGTGCAACCAGAACTACCTAAAGCTCAATGCTCTTAAGACAGTTAAGATGGTTGTGGATTTTAGGGAGAGCTGAACATCAGCTCCCTCATCAAGAAGGCCCAGGAGAAAATGTACATCCTACAGAAGCTGAAGAAGTTCAGCCTCGACATATGTATACATTTATAGCATTTACCTGATATCCAATGAGGGTGGTGCTTATGGCACTAAAAGACTTCCTTGAAGGATGGTCTCATGTATTCATGCTCATTGCTCCTCAGAGATCGCTCCTTACTCCTCAGTGCACAAATAAAAGCTTTAGGACAGTCTGCAATTTCCGGTTCAAGCGAGAAGCAAGGAGCGATAAGTGTGGAAATGACAAATTACAGACTTGAGATGCACCTTTCGGCTCTCCTAATCACCACCGTCATCTCCATCAACACACTGTGAGGTTCATCCTCAGTTGTCTTCAGAACTGGATCAAATGTGCATTGAGCAAAGTGAGAGGCACATTCTCTTTATCTTAAATGTAACCGAGTACCTTCCTGTGCAAATATAATGCATTATTTATGCTCCTGTTCACTTACTGAGTCAGAACACAAAGTGAAAGCATCATCACATGTTGAAGTGTCAACTGTTGTTGATCAGACATGATACTTCAAACAACTGCATTTGGAAATACGCTACACCAGGGGTATCAATTAGAATTCAAAGAGGTCCAGTTAGAGAAACTTTCCCGAAGCAAAGGTCCGGAACATCAAAACGACTACCCTGCGTTATGATTCAGTACCATAAAGTATAGTTGTATCAACATATGTTTTTAGTCAACAACGGACTGTCAAATCAAATAATATTTAAGAATATTTCAGTTTTAACATCAAACTGGAGGGATAATAACTACTCTAATAATAAATTCTAAATTTAACTAAAATAAAGTGCCTAATTTTTAGAAAAGGAAATAAAAAGTGTAGCTTGAAGTGATGAAGTGTAGTCCCCTAACAGCTGTAATGCCTCCTCCTCTCTTTCATTCCCTCTTATAGAACTACCACTTTCCTACTTTCTCTTGTTCAGTGAGAAACATGAGCTCCTGGCCTGAGTTTGTCCTGGCCTGGAGATCTATGAGATATTCTGGTTCTGAACTGCCCGTGGGAGGAATGTACATGTAAGAATCTGTACATTCTTGATTAAAAGCCATGTGAAATATCTTTTCCCTTTTGTCTCCTCAATGCGTGTGTGTTTCCAAAATTTTCAAACCTGAATCTCACGGACTCGACTCGCAAGCATCGGAATGCATAGATTTGATTGGCTAAGTAGCGTCACATGAGACAATTGGAGCACATGCGGTTGGTTTGTGAGTTTCCTGGGCTGCTAAACTAGTACAGTAAATACCAGAGAAGCTGCACGGGTTAAAATAGAAACCCTCCGTCACGAGGTAGTAAGTCTCAGTAATAAATCAGCTGTAGGTCGGCCTTCCGGAGAGGACAGCGGCTGGGTCCAGACCGCGGTCCGCCTATTAGTGACCCCTGAGTTTTGGAGTTTGTTTGTGAGAAAAAGGGGCTTTCCTAGAATACTGTGTTCTGAAGATTATGTATAAAATTCTTTTTATGTAATTTGTCTCGCATGTAACAAAATTATAAATATTGATTTTATTTCCCAGCATATTGAAGGATAAATCCTACATTTTGCTTATAAAAAACATGAATCCAATTTGTGCTCAGACAAACCCAGAAAAGAAGAGAAGTGGAGAACATTTAAAACTACGGTAATATATTTAAATATGAGGACAAGTGCAAAATACAAGAACTGACCCCAGAGTCTCCAGTCTACAGTGTGGACTCTCCAGTCCAGCAGATAGCAGCTTCACCCCTGAATCCTGCAGCTTGTTGTAACCCACATCCAGCTCTCTCAGATGGTAGTGGTTGGACTTCAGAGCTGAGGCCAGAAAAGAACAGCTGATCTCTGACAAACTGCAGTCCCACAATCTGAATAAATAAAAAATGATGGACATAAAAATCTATTTCCAATCCATTCAGATGTGTTCAGATTTTAAATGTGTAGCTCAACATTCCTATTTCCTAATCAATGAGCTTTTCCCTAAAATGAGTTGAGTGACTTTGTCATTGTGTTATTGTGGATCATCATCTAAATGTCAGCACATTCATACACCTATTCATGTCAACACATAAATAACATGGTGCTGATCTGAGGCCTGTGTGTGTTCTTAAGGATCAAAATCACTGACCAGACATTATTTTTGAAAACAAATTGAGATGAACAGAAGCCAAAGAAATATTTCTACTTCAACAAGTAAACTTGATCAGTTCAAAACAAATATTAGTTCAGAGGATCTTCTGTACTGATGTGACCATTCACCAAAAATTAGAAACATTCATTTACTTTAACGACTAAAAGCGGACATTTTCCGCATGACAATTTGAACAAAAGCAAATCTACAACTTTATGGATAGAAGTTATGCATGAACATAAATTAAGTTCAATTGTAAATTAAACATATCAGATCTACAATAGGAACAGTGAACTGACCTCAGAGCCTCCAGTTTACAATGTGGACTCTCCAGTCCATCTGAGAGCAGCTTCACTCCTGAATCCTGCAGCTTGTTGTTACTCAGGTCGAGCTCTCTAAGATGTGATGGGTTGGACTTCAGAGCTGAGGCCAGAGAAGCACAGCTAATCTCTGACAAACTGCAGCGACTCAATCTGAATAAAGAATAAATGATGCAAATTAAAGCTGCAAGCAGTGTTGAACTGGCCCTCAGCCCCTTGCCCGCCTCGGGTAGAGCAACACGACAGGCCAGCTCACACGGCTCTGAAGTTAACACTGCACATATCTCACAGGTAAAGTGTCAAAAACATTTGACAACATAAGGCGATTCCCCAACAGACACGTGCAGAGGGGGGTGCTATGGGTGCTTGAGCACCTGCCCTTTTGCCCTTTTTTCAATGAAATATTTAGTTTATTTATTTATTTTTAAAATTGTAAAGGCCCTTTTGTGAAGACCTACCGAATCAAACTATTAGTAAAATGAATGAATAATAATTTCGCAGTAAATAAAATTACCCACATCATGACCTTTCACCTGATGACCTCACCCGTGACGAGCCCTCCCGTTCACACACCGTTAGTGATTCAGCAGCACTGACTACACTTGCGATTCCGCCGGTAAGGGTTTACCTCAATGTGCTTGTTGTTGGTCGTATTTTGCTAGAAAGACGCAAAGAGAGCGGCACAGTTGTTGTATATTGCTGTGTCGCCTGTAGAAGTAATGTTAGCTGCCGGCTAACACTGTGCCGACAGCTAACATTACTTTCTACACACAGATAAACTAAGGTGCTCTGTTGATTTCGTTCTTGCTGTTTGATGGAGAAAAGTTTCACAGGTGTTGCGAGGTCTGGTATTTTTTATGTAATATGACTAAAAAACTTTCACTTGAACTAGGCGTAGCTTAATAAAAAACGTAGTGTGCCTACTGATAATTATTCCTCCGACTTATAGCCTTTTTTTAAATGATCAGACCAGTATTTGAATAGATTTAATAGCAAACCTACTATATAAACTAAATAACTGGAAATACATGTAATAATGTCAGCGTCAATGCAAAATAAATAATATTCCTGACATCAAAGTGAAGAGGGAAGAAGAAATGGTCCTATATCGATTTCAGACAAAGGTATGAAATGTTAATGTGAAAGGTAAATGCCGCTCTGACATGGTTATTATGGGCCAACAGAAAGAACACACATCTTAGTTTATTTAGATATATGATTAAACAGATCAATTAAAATCCCCCAAATATCTCAGAATCACAATGCAATATATAAAATTATTATAACACTATTGCCTATAGACACACACACACACACACACCTTCACCTGTCCTGTCTCACTCTTACCCCTGCCTTAGCTAAACTAGTCCTTTCTCCCAGTACTGTTTCCTTTCCAGATTATTTCCCACACTTTTTTGAATCTGGTATCTTATTTCCTCTACCTGCAGCTCTCGGTGTGCAGCAGTCTCTGTGAGCATCTCCTTCTTATTTTCTCATAGCAGTCAGCCTTGGCAGTGGCTGCAGCTACAGCAGGTCAGTCATAGTGAGCCAGTCCCAAATACCCTCAGCAATCTTTACATCTTGTCATGGTCACATATTTGTTTAATTATCTAATATACATCATTTGTTTGTTATAATAAATCTAGTCACAGATCACCCTTCAGTAGTATCAGCAGCAACAACAACAGCATCAGTAGCAACATCCCCAGCAACCCCTCGACAGCAAATGTTCCCCGTTATGTCAACCCACAGTGTTTTAAAGCTGGAGCTTTCCTGTGTTTCTTTTTCAAAACTGTGTCACAGCATTTGCTGATGTATTGATACATAAGTATCAGTATACGTATATCAGCAAGGAATACATAACGATATATTTCTGAGAACAGCCCAATTGAAATCTTTGTTCCATGTGCCCCTTTTATACTTTGAGCACCTGCCCTTCCAAAGGTCTCTGCACGGCCCCAACACCTTCATCAGTAACATCCTGCAATCTCATCATCAAAAAGGCAAAGCAAAACTTCTTCCTTGCGGAAGCTCAGATAGTCTCGCCAAGAACAGACTGGAGCAGATTGTCACTAAAACCTCCAACGTAATCAGTTGTGACTTCCCTCCAGTCAACGCACTATACATAAAGTGCACCTTAAGCTAAACTAAATTAACCAAGGACCTCTCCCACTCAGCCCATCACCTGTTTCTCCCCTCTGCCGCTTTGCGCCTGAATCAATCATTGAACTGAACAGTACATTTTATACCACACACATTCACTGTTAAGTATATTTTCACATTCTTTGGGTCTGTTTTGTTGAAAATGGTTTATGGTGTCTGGTTCTTCTGTCTTCGTTCTGTGCTGGAACTGAACTACCATGCTGTACCAAAACAGCACCGAGGATCACCTGAGCACATTACCACGGAAAGATCTTGGGATGGCGTGCAGACATGGAGTGATGGCAGCGGGGCTGCTCTACGCACTCATAACAAACTTTTTGGGAGCTAAACATCCGTACGAACCGGACTACCTAATTTTGACAAATAGTCATACATCGCAAAAACAGTTTGGATTTGGTCAGCTCGCATTGTTTACCACCTTTATTCGCCCTGGCATGGGAATGCAGGGCTCAGACAAACAATTCACCAAGACGGATCAGAGAGGGGGACGACTTCTCATAACTTTCTGTCTGCTCTTAGCTGGTGACGTTCATCAATGCCCTGGCCCAATGTTCCACACTGAATTTGCAACCAAATCATCAAAACCTGACATGACTAATCAGTCATCTGGTTTACAGATACGATCTGCTGTTAACGTTGTACAAAAAAGTCCGGATCACCCACCTAAGTTCCGTGCTTGTTCCTCGGATGGCTCGAGGAGTGTACTGGCTGCAGTCGCCGCTCGGGCGGGTTCGCGGGGGATGTTTGGCATGGAGGAAGCGGGAGGGCCGCGATCGCTGAAACGGTGTGCATCCTCGCAAAGCTCCGGGGAAGTCGCACGGATGATTCCGTCTCCTCCGACGTGGCCGGAGGGGTCTCCTCGTCAAGGGTGGTGGTTGCCCAGTTTTCGGGCAGCGCTCAACCAGTTCACCTCTGTCCGACGAACTCCACTCTTCCCGTCTACGCTCTCTATGGTCCAGGTAAGCGTGGGCCAATCAAGAATCCACGTAGAATAGGAGTTAGCGCCACTCAACGGAGAGCCACAGGACTAAATCCAGCTATTCTCAAGCTGCGTAAATTTAACCTTTTTCAAACAGTGAATAATGCCAAAGTTCTGTGGGACCCTCAAACAAAACCCAGTGGACTACTGGGCGGTCACCTGAATATCCGTAGTTTGATTTCTAAAAGTGATGAGATAAAACATATTCTTGTGGACTCACTTCCTATGCTTATCTGAAACTTGGTTGAATAAAAACTCCCCATCCGCAGCCATACATATTCCTGGCTATAATGTTTTTAGGAAAGATAGAAAGGTTGGCAAAGGTGGGGGTTTACTGCTATACATCAAAGAACATATATCATGTAAAGAGGTTCAATGCTCAGTTGAGAATGAGCTTGAGTATATTTGCCTTAATATTAGTCTTTCACCACAAATGTCCTTCTTTCTCATTGGAGTGTATAGACCTCCATCTGCAAAAGCTAGTTTCTTTGACAAATTAGAAACTGTTGTAAAGGTATGCAGGCCAGGTCAGGAAATACTAGTAATGGGTGACTTCATTGTTAATTGGGAGGACAAAAGCACTAGTAAACCACTGCAACGGATCTCTAATAAATTTGATCTCACACAACTAATTAAAGGGCCCACTAGAGTAACCTCTAATTCAAAAACTCAAATTGACTTGATATTTACCAACAAACCTGAAAGGGTGTCGAAATCCTTTAACAAAAGAAAGAAAGCTTACTAAATCCCGTTTTCATTTAAAACCTAACACCAAATCTAGCCAGTTACGAATACCCAAATGTGATGTTGATGAATTTGACAGAGAAATCAAAAATATTAACTGGGATCAAATCATAGCTGGTGTAGATGTGGATAATGACACAAATGTCCTCATGTCCACAATTCAAAACATAACTAAGCGATTTTTAAAGAAAAACAAATCTAAAGGGAATAGTAAATACACCCTCCCCTGGATCTCTAGTGACATAAGGAGATTAATGAAGGAGAGGGATAATGCTTTAAAGCTCTCTCTCAAGTCCAAATCATTGATTGATAGGCATATATTTGTGTCCTTGAGAAATAGAGTAATAAAGGAAATTAGGGCAGCTAAATCTAATTTCTTTGTTGACCTCATACGGGATGCTAAAGGTAATCATAAACAAGTCTGGGATTGTCTGCATAAACTAACAGGGAAAGGACATAATAAGGCAACAAAGCAGCTGGAGATCAAAGAAAATGGTAACCTATATAAGGAACCAGCTGAAGTTGTGACTATCTTCAATAATCATTTTGTCAACTCTGTGAGATTGACTGTGCATAGTCCCATAAGTGGTCCACAACACTCCTCACCAATTGATGTATTACAGCCAGTCTTCACTCTGACTGAAATTTCTGAACCCAAGGTTAAGTCTATAATTACTTCTTTTAAGAATTCCAAATCAAAAGACATATTTGGACTGGATTCCATGTTTTTAAAGAAACATGCTGCCTCCCTCACAGGGCCTATTACTAAAATTATAAACAGCTCTTTTAAGGAGGAAAAATTCCCAAACGATTGGAAGTTAGCCATTGTTGTGCCAGTCTATAAATCAGGAGATACAACTGATATGAATAACTATAGGCCGATTAGTATTTTACCCGTCTTGTCTAAGATCTCGGAAAAATGCGTGGCTGAGCAATTGACTGAACATCTTAACAGAAGCCCTTTTAAACTGCACTCTATGCAATTTGGCTTTAGAGCCAATCACTCCACTGAGACAGCAAATTGTTTCTTTGTGGAAAACATCAAGTCAAAATTGGACAAAGGAGGCATAGTTGGAGCAATTTTCTTAGATCTGAAAAAAGCTTTTGACACTGTCAACCATGAAATACTCATCCACAAAATGTCTTATTTTAATTTCTCAACCAGTGTTACTGACTGGATGAGAGCTTATCTGTCAAATAGAGTACAGTATGTGAGAGTTAATGGTGAGACATCACCACCCCTTAGGAACGAACTGGGTGTACCCCAGGGATCTGTCCTGGGCCCTATTTTGTTCAGCATCTACATAGATGACCTGCCATTAGTGTGCACTGGATGTGAGGTGCAGATGTATGCTGATGATACAGTCATATATGTTCATGCGAAAACTAAAGCCCAAGTTGTTGCCAAGCTCAACGATACAATGGTACATGTACGTAAATGGCTTACTGGCTCACAGCTGAATCTCAATGTTAAGAAAACAGTATGTATGTTTTTTAGTAAAAGCAACACTGTATCTCATTGTGAACCCAATGTCTGTGTGTCTGGGGAGGTCATTCAAACAGTTACACAGTTCAAATATCTAGGCATTATTCTTGACTCTACTCTATCATTTAAACATCAAGTGAGAAAGGTAGTGCAAATAACCAAATATAACCTAGCGAACTTTAAGTATATAAGGAACTGTTTGACAACACCTGTAGCAAAGCTATACATGACAACTATGATAATTCCTCACCTAACATATTGTATGACAAGCTGGACCCAGGTATGCAGTACAACACTAAGGCCTATTTTATCACTTTACAAACAAGCACTTAAAGTATTGGACAAAAAACCCCAACTTTACCACCACTGTAACATTCTTAATACTTATAACCTACTCAATTGGGAAAATATTTTAAAACACAGTGATGCATGCCTAATCTTTAAAATCATTAATGGGAAGGCTCCCCCACCACTCTGTACTTTTATACAGCAGAAGTCATCTAGCAGCAGAACCACAAGGTCTGCCTTAAGAGGGGACTGTGTAGTCCCTCGTAGGTCCAGTTCCTTTGGCCAATTATGCTTTTCTGTGAGAGCCTCTAAACTATGGAACCAATTGCCTGTGGATATTAGAAATTCCACCTCATACCATACATTCTCACACCATCTTAAGGTCTGGCTTTTGAGCATACAAAAATGTGAACACCTCTCATAATAATAATGTATGTCTGTCTCTATATTTTAGCTGTCGTGTAACTTTTGGTATATGTATGCTAAATAGATGGTTAGATGGTAACTTTATTAATGCCCTAACTGTTGTATGGATGTATGGTTATATGTTATATGTTTTATGATGTTATGTTTTAATGGAGCCAGTGCTATGGCATTATGTTTTATTGTTGTATATCAATTGCTGTGTGACTTAATGTGTTTTATTATTTTTGTTTCTTTTAAGCTATTATGTGCCTAGTATAACATCTTGCCAATGGACTACAGTTGAAAATTAGCCTGCTGGCTAACACTGGCACATTTACAGAAATGTTGATTAATGTGCACTGTCCTTAAATAAATAAATGAAATGAAATTACCACCGAAAATGTGTGGCAATAAATTATCCATCAATCTATCTATCTATCTATCTGTATCTATCCATCTATCCATCCATCCATCTATGGGTATACCTTCATGAGGCTTACTTTAAGTTTAGAGATGTTACATCTGCATCAAGCTTCCATTGCCCCTCATAAAAGCAGCTTCCTGTTTCATAGTAAATAATTCCTTGCTATGGCAATTGCGTTTTAAAAAGAAACAATCAACAAGATCTTAAGGCTTTCCTGCAGAACTTTCAGATGGATTTGGTCAACCTGCTTGGAGGAACATACAGTATTAAAGTTTAAAACCAGCCAGTAGGTGCTGCTATGACTATGACTGGATATTGGCATGTAGAACTCTTAAAACACATTTAAAGTATGGGACAGATTTGACCATGTCTTTGGGATTACTGTCATGTGAAGTTCTCACAGTTAAGGTCATGTGTTTGTGAATAGTGTCAAGTCTGTGTCTTTACTCTAATGCTGATGGCTTCAGCTTTACCCTGCTTTACATTGCTGATAATCACATCTGGACTTACCGAGCCTTTCTGCAGTTCCTCACAGCTGGAATCAGTCTCAGTCGTCCCTCCACTGACGTGTTGTACGTCTTGAGGTCCAACTCATCCAGAACCTCCTCTGACATCTGCAGCATGTAGGCCAGAGCTGAGCAGTGGATCTCAGAGAGTTCCTTCTCTGATCTGTTCTCTGACTTCAGGAACTCTTGGATCTCCTGATGTACTGAGTGGTCGTTCATCTCCGTCAGACAGTGGAAGATGTTGATGCTTCTGTCAGGAGAGATCTCATCACTGTTCATCTCCTTCAGGTTGTTGATGGCTTTCTGGATAATTTCTGGACTGTTGTCTGTCTGACCCAGCAGGCCTCCTAAGAGTCTCTGGTTGGACTCCAGAGAGAGGCCATGAAGGAAGCGAACAAACAGGTCCAGGTGGCCATTTTTACTCTTGAGAGATTTCTCCAGGGCTTCCTTCAGGAAGACATTCAATCTGTCATTGATTCCAAAATACTGAGAAAGCTTCTTGGAAAAAAACTTTAGGATTGAGTCCCTGTATTTCCTGTCTTCCAGGAAGTCCTTCAGTCTCTCTGTCTTCCTGCTGGTGTAACAGTGGAACATGTAGACTGCAGCCAGAAACTCCTGAACGCTCAGATGAACAAAGCAGTAGACTGTTTTCTGGAAGATCACACTCTCTCTTTTGAAGATCTCTGTACAAACTCCTGAGTACACCGAGGCCTCTGTGACATCAAGACCACACTGCTCCAGGTCTTCTTGGTAGAACATGATGTTTCCTTTCTCCAGCTGTTCAAACGCCAGCCTCCCCAGCTTCAGAAGAACCCTCCTGTCAGCCTCCGTCAGCTCCTGTGGACTCGTCTCATGTCCCTCATCGTACTTCTGCTTCTTCCTCTTTATCTGAACCAGCAGGAAGTGTGAGTACATGTCAGTCAGGGTCTTGGGCAGCTCTCCTCTCTGCTCTGTAGTCAACATGTGCTCCAGAACTGTAGCAGTGATCCAGCAGAAGACTGGGATTAGACACATGATGTGGAGGCTCCTGGAGGTCTTGATGTGTGAGATGATTCTGCTGGACAGCTCTTCATCACTGACTCTCCTCCTGAAGTACTCCTCCTTCTGGGCGTCAGTGAAGCCTCGTACTTCTGTTACCCTGTCAACACGTGAAGGAGGGATCTGATTGGCCGCCGCAGGTCGGGAAGTTATCCAGACGAGCGCCGAGGGAAGCAGATTCCCCTTGATGAGGTTTGTCAGCAGCAGGTTGACTGATGACTTCTGTGTGACATCAGACACAACCTCACTGTTGTGGAAATCCAATGAAAGTCTGCTTTCATCCAGGCCGTCAAAGATGAACAACAGTTTCCAGACGGCGAGCTTCTCTGCTGGGACCTTCTGTAATGTTGGATGGAAAACATGGAGCAGCGTGAGGAGACTGTGCCGCTCATCTTTGATCAAGTTCAGCTCCCTGAACGAGAGCAGAACCAGCAGACCGACATCTTGGTTTTCCGAGCACTCTGCCCAGTCCAGAGTGAACTTCTGCACCGAGAAGGTTTTTCCAACGCCAGCGACGCCGTTGGTCAGAACCACTCTGATGGGTCTCTGTTGGCCAGGTAAGGCTTTAAAGATGTCCTGGCACCTGATTGGAGCGTCATGGAGGGTCTCCTTCTTGGAAGCTGTCTCAAGCTGCCTCACCTCATGCTGGGTATTAACCTCTTCACTCTGTCCCTCTGTGATGTAGAGCTCAGTGTAGATCCTGTTGAGGAGGGTTCCACTTCCTGTTTCATCACTTCCTTCAGTCACACGTTCACATCTCCTCCTCAGACTGATCTTATGTTCATCTAAAACCTCCTGCAGACCACCGCTCACTAAAGAAGAGAAGAAAGTTGTGACATTGTAATGAGCTACTTTTAGCTCAGAGCTCGTTCCTTGCTCAGGAGGTTCTCATCATCTTGTGTCTAGACTACTGCAACTCGCTCCTCGCTGGTCTGCTACATATGCCAACCGACCTCTGCAGCCGCAAAGCAGAATGCAGCTTGGAGGTGGTCTTCAACCTACCCAAGTTCTGCCACACTACACCGCTCCTTCACATCCTGCACTGTCAAGTCACTGCCGTTTGCCTACCATGCTGTGAATGGCCCAGCTCGCCCAATATGCTCTGCTACTGCCAATCAGCTTGCTCCCTCATTATGAAGGGGGTCTAGCTACCGCTTAACAAAACCCCACTGACATCAGGACAGCAGAAACTCTAGAAACTAAACGCAGCTCTTGAAGCAGTTCAGCTTATTTGATGAAGCTGATGTACCTGCATGGTTCTTGTCATTTCTGGGTTGAATGTTCTTATTGTAAGTCTCTAAATAAACGTAATGTAATGAAATGTAGCAGGTTCCATGTTTAAGATGTACAGATGTCCAGTCTTACTTTGTACAGAGCTGCTCTGACTGGCTGTCTGCAGTCCAGCTCTGGTTCTGGATCTTTTTCCACACTGGGGACAGGAGGAGTGTCCCGATGAAGCAGACTGGTCCCAGTATGAGGTGATGCACCGTCTGCAGAACCAGTGTCCACAGCTGGTAGAGACTGGATCCATCAGGACGTCCTGACACAAAGCACAGCAGGAAGGCTGCTCCTCCACAGAAACGTGACTCCTCTTCCTCTTTCTGTGAAGACATTTCTTTAGAACTAAAATCATTTGTTGCTTGTAGTTGAAAATCTCTGTGTAGAAGCTCAGATGGTCACAGAGAAAAGTAAAAGTGTCGTTACTTTTCTGTTTGAATTCAGCTGTCTATTTTCTTGAAGTGTCAATCCTGAACTGGAGGTTCTCAGGTGTTTTGGGCTTAGTTTGAAACAGAATCTGCACTAATAGTTCTGCATCAGGAATATAAATCTGTTAGCAGAACATTTTGTCTTCATCCTCAATGCATCATCTTCCATCAGGTCAGTTTACAGTAAAAACTGTCTCTTACTTTGTGTCTGAGGGTCCAGGTTCATTACTGAAGTATTCAGGTTCCTCTTTGGACCAGTCACTCTTCATAGACAGACATCTGGATCCTGCAAACTCTGCTCTCTGTCTGTTGGACTGAACTCTGCAAACACAAGATGTTTTTATTCATATCACATGAATCATTGATAAATAAGACAGCAGTCACAGGTAATAAGAGGAAGACGGCAAAACTTGTCTCTCTTTTTGGCAGAAATTTGAGTTAGCAATTACATTTTAGCAGAAATTAAATATGTAAATACAAAATCAACAGAAAACATGGCAGAAGTAACTGAAAATTAGTCATAAATGAGTTAGCAGTTCTCTTACTTTGTGTCTGAGGGTCCAGGTCCATTGCTGAAGAGTAGAGGATAATGTTTGGACTGGTCACTCTTCAGAGACAGACAGCTGGATCCTGCAGACTCTGCTCTCTGTCTGTTGGACTGAACTCTGCAAACACAAGATGTTTTTATTCATATCACATGAATCATTGATAAATAACACAGATAGTAAGAGGAAGTCTTTGTGTCAGAAATTTTAGTTAGCAATTACATTTTAGCAGAAATTATATAAACACAAAATCGACAGACAATATGAAAGAGGGAACTTCAAGGAAATCATATAAATTAGTTAATAGCAGTTCTCTTACTTTGTGTCTGAGGGTCCAGGTCCATTGCTGAAGAGTAGAGGATAATGTTTGGACTGGTCACTCTTCAGAGACAGACAGCTGGATCCTGCAGACTCTGCTCTCTGTCTGTTGGACTGAACTCTGCAAACACAAGATGTTTTTATTCATATCACATGAATCATTGATAAATAAGACAGCGGTCACAGGTAATAAGAGGAAGACGGCAAAACGTGTCTCTCTTTTTGGCAGAAATTTGAGTTAGCAATTACATTTTAGCGGAAATTTAAATATGTAAATACAAAATCAACAGAAAACATGGCAGAAGTAACTGAAAATTAGTCATAAATGAGTTAGCAGTTCTCTTACTTTGTGTCTGAGGGTCCAGGTCCATTACTGAAGTATTCAGGTTCCTCTTTGGACCAGTCACTCTTCATAGACAGACAGCTGGATCCTGCAAACTCTGCTCTCTGTCTGTTGGACTGAACTCTGCAAACACAAGATGTTTTTATTCATATCACATGAATCATTGATAAATAACACAGATAGTAAGAGGAAGTCTTTGTGTCAGAAATTTTAGTTAGCAATTACATTTTAGCAGAAATTATATAAACACAAAATCGACAGACAATATGAAAGAGGGAACTTAAAGGGAATCATATAAATTAGTTAATAGCAGTTCTCTTACTTTGTGTCTGAGGGTCCAGGTTCATTGCTGAAATCTGGAGGTTTACGGTGGGACCGGTCACTCTTCAGAGACAGACAGATGGATCCTGCAGACTCTGCTCTGTCCTCCTCTTCCTCCAGACAAACACTCATCTTCTGGTCTGAAGTCAGTCTGAGAGGTGAAACAGTGACACTGACTGTGAGCTCAGAGCACAAGAACCAGGAAACAAGTCTGAGAACAGGAAGTAACACACTAACTGTAGCAGGTCATGACTTTGGGTGCTTCTCAAGTCTTTTATTTGTTGTTTCCTCGCCCTTCACTAAAACAGGAAGTTGTTCCGCTTCGCCATCTTGCTGTCCCAAAGCTCTTATTTGCGCTCCGAGGAGCGATCTCTGAGTAGATACACCAGTGCATCCTTTGCGGAAGACTTTTACTGAGCGACACTATTGGGTAGCTGTTAAAAAAGCGTCGGGTTTATATGATGGAAGGCAGTGATCGATCAGTGACCAGTGATGTGACTTGCAAATAAAATGTAGCCTATGCAGAAGTATTAAAGGATATCAGAAGAGGAAATAAATGAAAAACTGAGCGTCAACTTTGATACAAGTTACGTCATTTCAATTTCCCTGAAACATTTAGGCTAATAAATCCCAAGACACCGTGATCTGGGTTGATCCAGTGCGTCTGAGCAGGACATTCAGTAACACATCATTTTTCATGTGCAGGTGTTTGTTAAACAGGTAACAGCGAATCCTCCTGCTCTGCACTGATAACTGGGAGACTTTATTAGTACCAACACAGTGCACATGTATGTAGACACAAACTCCATCAAAAGTTGTTAGAGCTGATGGGACAGCGGATCCAGCTGTGACCAGTTGCATTTTCTACCCCCCCCCCAGTCTAGAAACAACAAGGTTTATACACAATATTAAAGCCCCACAGTCTTTGACTTTTCTTATGTGTTTTGGTAAGAGGTGTCACTGTCATTTTTGCATAAGCACCAGCGGGTAAAAGTTCATCTATAGAGAACGCATCTGACAGCGATCCACCTGCACGGAGCAGGCTAGAGACGCAAAAACGCTGTATTATTTTCCTCTGCCAACAGCAAGGACGGGCTGAATAGAGTGAAAACATTTAGGGAGGCATGATCATCAAAACGAATGATGCAGCACCGACATTCTGCCACCCACAGGTTGAAAACAAATACAGAAATTGGCATAGCAGTCTGAAAACCTACGTTTATCAAAAAGACCAAAAAGATTATTGGCCCCGTCTTGCAGCCAGAAACAAAGCGGCGCAAAGCGAGGCGAAAGCGTCAAGTTTCCAACGGCGCAGTTAAAATTTGCACACCAAGCGACCAAGTTGTTTAAATAGAAAATGCACTTGCACCTATCTGTGAGCTCATTGGAGTGCTGGTGTTTAAATGAGGTGAGGTCAGGCGCGTTGCTATTGAGGCAGCAGAAAGCGATTGTTTTTGTTACTTCAGAGGCGCATCACTGACACTGTGCGCATTTACGCACGAGGCACAGCAGCATAACTTCATTGATTATTAAAATCTCCTGACACGCTGACTCCCCCTCAGTCACTTCATCCTGGCGCCGGGCCTGTGCCGCCGTCATAAGAAACGGACGTCCCTTTATGTCTCAACACATTTCCTCGTCCCTTCTCTCCTGGCTTGGTTTCATTTCGTCTCTCCATGCATCCCAGGTGAGCGGGACTAAGACGCAAGGAAAAGACGTAGCCTAAGTGAGGGACACGTGGATGCAATGAAGAGACCTGAGAAGCACCCTTTGTGTCCACCTGAAATGTTGGATTAACACTCACCCTGCCAGCCTTCACTTTTCCTCCCACTGCTCTGTCGACTCAAAGTAGTCTGAACTAAATGAACACACTTCTTTCCTGTTCTCATGAACCGGCTGAGTTCAGCACAGACAAAACGTAGTAAAATGTTTTTTTTCAACGGAAACGTGGTTCACTGAACCGCAGCTGATGTTAACACCCGAGACAAACGGGGGAAAACACAGGCTACTTCGAAGCCCGTTGCACAACGTTGCAAGGAAACATGTTGTTTAATCCGAACAGGTTCAAAACGTTTTGAAACTGAACTCACCCCCTCCCCATTTACAGGAAATCACACCTGTCTGTGTGCTGCATGATGTGTTTATGAGCGTCTCTCTTGGCTTCACCAGAGTGAATTAAAATTATTTACTTTATACAAAGTTTTAGTGAAAATGTTGATAGCCTACAGAAATTATGTAAATTTCTGTTTGTTACAATTAAAGTCCATTAAACTAAACCATCAATATTAAAAAAAAAACTATACAACTTAGAGCTGACAGTGAAACTAAACGGAGTTTTATTAAATCAGGGTTTCATTATAACGTGCCTGCAGACATTTTAATAATATTTCCCGGCATGTTCTCGGACAGCTGTAGCCGCGGGACCGCAGCAGGGACGCGGACTGCGGGAGAGCCAGGACGCCGCCCGCTCCCCGGGTGAGTAGCTCTCCGAAACACCGGTACGCGTTCCGGTTGTGGTGAAGCGGACCGTCCCGGGAGACGCGCGGTCCGGCTCAGAGCTGGAGGGTGTGAGGAGGACGTGCAGCGGGGAGTCCCGACACCGAACTGACGTTTCACCGCTGCGAGGAACACAAAACAACACGACACCATTTCACCTTCAGTCTGTAAGTTAGGCTGACTAGAGTTTGACTTTGGGGCCGTTTAGAAACGTGTTTATTCAGGACTGAGAGACTCAGACAGCTGCTACAGTAAAACACATCTTCAGTTTCCGCAGTGTTATGGTAGGAAAATATGTTCGGCTAATGTCAGACTAACCGGAACTGGTGCAATGGAACTTCCGGTTGAAACATCCAAAATAAAACTTTTCAAGGTTTGAGTGGAATATTTTACATTTACGATTTTATACGTTTTCAACACAGATTGGGAATTATCTCTTTACTTTAGAAGCATAGTCATTTATTTGCTCAGTTTTTAGTTATTTTTCCTGAAATAAATTCAGGATGTAACTCTCTAAACTTACACATGTTGTGTATTTTTCTAATTAGCTAATATATCTATGAGCTCAGTATTTCTAAAGTTCTGTATGGCCCTGACAAACTGAAAGATGAGGTTGAGAAGCTTTAGGCTGATAACAGTGGAATAAAAAAATACATTTTAAAGCTATATTTAATATGATTTGCTCACTTAAATACAAATGTACTTTCTGTAGATTTTGCAATAAATAAATCAGTGAGATGAGCAACAAAAGTATATATAATTTTTCCTAATTAGAATCACTGCCACTCAGCATGAGAAATATGTGTTGTTTTACAAGGTAAAAAACAGTCATGGTAAATCAAAATGATCAGATATGCAATCAAAGTTATGATGATGATGATATACCATTATTATGAAAAGTATGGATTAACTAAATTGAAACCATATTATGAGATACTGAGTCATAACTTACGATGTGTTACTGAACTGTAAATTATGAGGTACTTTGAGTGTTTCTATTTTCTGCTACTTTCTTCTGCTGCTCTACTACATTTATTTAAATAATATCACTAAAATTAAAAGAAAAAAGTAAAATAAAATATTTAAAAAAATAGATTGACTAAAAGATCTTATCAAGGTCCACTTACTAGCTTTTTCAGTCACATTTCTTCCTAGGAAGGTGGAGTTTGCTCTGTTGTCACGGAGATATCCCAGCTGCCATCACATGACCTAAACCTCCTGTGATAAAAGGTCAGCGTATCTGCTGAGAAAGACTTCTAATGAAAGCACTTTAATTTACTGCTGTTACCAAAGTCAAGGTTTACCTGGTGGAGGTAAAAAGTTTGTCCTGAGGGTGGTGCTAGAGGAAATTCATGGAGTCATTGAAATCTGACTTGAAAGATCAATAGAACATTATTTATTTATTTATTTATTTATTGGTTTATTTTAGACAGACAGCGCTCGCCATCTGTAGTCCCTGGACTGATGTTATAAAGTTACACTAAAAATGTGAATAATAACAGTAATAGAAAGATGGACTAAATAAGTCCATGTAAAATGTGTGAACTTAGTCACTAGTAATGTTAATGAACCTCCTCACATCTCAAGAACTGACCTCAGTCCCTGCGTGATCTGTTTTAACTTTCTGATTTTGTCATGAATAAACTGTCATAATCGTCGTCCTCCTCAGCAGCAGAATGTGCGACCGTCCAAAGATCCACGTCTTCCTGGGGGCTCCTCCTCCCTCCTCTGGCCCGGCCTTGGTGTCTGGAGCTGGGGAGGAGGGTGAGGAGCGTCCCCCTGCAGACTGGAGACACCTGGAGCTCACCTGGCAGCATGGACGTCTGAGGCCTGTAGCAGGTGAGGCATTCAGGAAGGGCTGGGAAACAGCATGTTCTACATTTAAACTGCTGTAGATGGTATTTATTTTTATTGATTTGGTAAAATATACTGTATTTTAAACCTGAAATCTTTTGTTGATCAACAGAAAATTGCTGCTTTTCTGTGTTTTAGATCAGTTAAAGAAATCCAAATTATTTGATAATGTTTCAGACGAGGCTGGAAATGAAACAAAATTATCATCCGAGGAGAGAAGCAGCAGGGAGAATGTAGAATCTGATCCATCTGCACCGAGGTTACAAAGAGAAGATGATGAAACAAACTCTGATCAGGATGACTCGTCCTCTAAAGCTGATCGGACCACAGAGACGTCACGAGAACCTGAAGGACGAGCTGGATCAGGCTGCACGTTAACCAAAGTGTCCTCGGACCATCA